TCTCTCTTTGTCCCTGCTTTGATCCTGCTCTCCAAGCCTTGGCTGGCCTCGCTAACAGCAGCTGAGCACAGGTCCTACTCCACTCCCACTAATAACACACATGCAAGCCGCGCTGGGATGAAGCGTGCACAGACACACACACACACACACACAAACAAACACACTCTCTCTAGCTGTTCTTCTTACTCCCACTCTTCTCGCTCACACACTCCAAAATCGGTAACGACTGGCTCTGCTATCATTCAGTGCTTTCTGTGAGTTGTCAGAGCTTATCGCTTACACACAATCCTCTGTTTGCTGTAACCCTGCACTTACACTGCAAGCAACTTGGGTGATGGGTCACTCTATTCTGACTGATAGTGGGTAGTGCTAGAGCCTCTAAACGCAGCCACATCGTGGATTATTGTAGTACACTGATTTTGGCAAGCAAATATAGGCATATGTATGTCCTATGTCCTTAACTGTTCCACTGTCACCAATTCATATCATATGGCCTTAATTGTTTGCCATGCCTGTAATTGAATGACTTGAAATCTGCAGTGTTCCATTCTTGAATTTTTAAATCGCATACTTTTTATATATCGCGGAAAATATGCATCATATCACACCACTGCAGGTTTTGGAAAACATACTTTATTCATCCCTTATGGAAATGTTCTACCTTTCCCTCTGTTGTTATTTTTGCATATTACACACATGCCTGAAATACCCACAAAGCACAACAGGATCTATGCACTTGCATTTATGAGAGCACAGATGTCAGAGCGAGGGGGGGGGGGGCATGGTAGGTCTGTGTGTTTAACAGGCATAATCCACAGACTGAGCTACTGCTGCTGGTCACACATACAGATACATAATTAATGAACATAACTCAAGGTCCACTTACTCACTTTTTCCACAACTGTCAATCATATATCACAGTCTTCCTCAGCTAATAATGTGGTCTGCCCCATATTTACAACTTGTTATAATGTGGACTATGCCTAATTTATATGGGTCATCACTATGACAACTGAGCAAACTCCATTTACCGAGGAAGACTGTGATGTGATTAAAACATCTGGGGGGAAAACAATAGTGAACTTTTAGGTAATATTACGTTGTCAAAATACTGAGAATGAGCTTTTACTCCTGCAGTCTTTCAAGTAAAAGTTGTGGAGAGCTGAGATTATTTCACTGTTTGTAATGAGCTTCTTATATAGTTTGCTGTTTCCAAGAAGAGCTGAAAGTTAGCTGTTGACATGCAGTGACTGTGCACACATAGGCTACTCAGCTCTGTAGGAAATGAAAGGATGTCTGGTGACTTGTTGACCATGCTAATCACAGTGTGAACTGTTGGATAAGTAAAGTCAGTCAACCACTGTGTGGCAGCCTCTTGGGATGGCAGGCTGCGTCAACACAGTGTCACCCTCAGTTTGGCAGCAGCCATCATGACACCTAAGGCTGGCCCTGATGCAGCCTGTGTGACTGCCTGCTTACTTCCCACTCCTCTTGCCAGCCAGTAATGAAGCTTAAATGCCTATGCAACCCCACCTCACTAAACACACACACACACACACACACACACACACACACACACACACACACACACACACACACACACACACACACACACACACACAACCTTCTCACCCTTGTGGCACCAGGAGCACCCGTTGGCAGCGCCTTTGTTCACCAATGGTTTACACATTAAGGCATGTGGGTGACAGCGGGCCAGATTGTTTTGTGAGCCGAATATCTCACACTTTCACACACACTTTAGCCCCACAATCTCCCTGCCTAATTGCATTATTGCTGCATTATTGCAGTGTGTGGAGGTCCATGGTCAAGAGTGCTCAATAAAGATATGAGTCCTGGGAAAGGCTGGGAGCGGTGTGAATGAGAAAAGAGGAAGAGGAAGGTAAAAAATGAGGGGGATATAAAAAGAGAGATAAAAAGGCAGAGGATAAGATCAAGAGATGAGGCTTGGTGCAGGGACAGGGGGGGGGGGGTCACAGGTTAAAAAAAAGTGTGAGAACTTGGAGAGACAGGGTGGGGTGTCCTAAATAAAAGATGTAAAATAATCAGGCTTGTTTGTTTTCCTGTCTGCAGGCCAGACAATTGTCATTGGCTTTTCATCAGTAAAGTATCTCTAAACACGTGTGATCAAAAGCCTTTACAACAGAGAGCCGTGTTCGCCGACAGTCAGCCTGCTTCCCACAGATTTCCTGTGGTAGAAGAGTTCACTCATAGCTACAGGTAACACTCCCGGGACCGATGGCAGCCAGGTGCGCGCGATAGACTCTTCGGGAAAGGGAGGGACCGACAGACTCGAGCCTCTGTGACTCAGTGCACCGGCGGAGACCTCTTGCAACATGAGCGTGAGAAAGTCGTTCAGGCGGAGAGCGTTTCAAAACCTAAACTCTGTCTGCCTCACATCAATACATTTGTTTTGGAACTCTGTCAGTGCCATTGTGCGGAGTAAATGACTCAGGTGTGCAGGGCACAACAATGAGACATGTTAGTGATGTGTTTGACAGAGGCAGCGTTGTTGTGCAGAGAGAATACTGAGGATTATAGCGCTGGATTTCAGCGCATGTACAAACTTCACTCCTTCCAAAATCAAAGTTTGCAATTACACACAAGACGCGTGTGTGGTTTCACTGTTGTCTCCATATGCCAGTTAATCATTCTGTCATTGTGTAGTAGAGCTTTGTTTAACCAGCTATTTAGCAATATTCCATCCGTTTTTTGGCTGAATTCTGGATTATATGAAATCAGCAACAGTGGTAGCCACATGAGAATAAAACGTTTGAAGTAACAAAAAGTAAATTAATGCTTTGGCCTATAACATAATTAATTCTCGTCTACAGGCTGCTGGCACTGATGTCATACAGTTTGCAGACGTTGTAATTTACCGCAAGCACGGGCTTGGGAGAATTTAAAACCATCTCAGCGCCTGTGTTGTGTTCAGCGCTGGATCTGGAGCTCCCTGTTTTCCTATCAAATTCACGATCTTGCGGCCAGCCGCCGGCGACGCCCCGCAGATCCAGGCGGCAAGCCGGCGAGAGAGCGCCTTCCCCCGGTCGCCTGCGCGCCACGTGTCGCGGTCTCCGCAGCAGCTGGAGGTGTGTGAGCTCAGCGGAGAGCCGTGCTTTGAGCTTCTTAGAGAAAACAAGTAATGTATTTGTTGATAAGTATCTGATTTGCATTTCCTCTTCCATTACACATCTCCTCACATCGGCACAAGTGACAGTAAAATAGTCCCGAATTGTCTTAATTGTATTCGGGGAGAAAAAGCCAAAAAGTAGTCAGGATATCTCCACAATGAGAAAGTAAAGTATTTTTTTTTAAATTATAAACAAACCATGATAGAAGTAAACATCAGGAACCTAATGACAGAGCTGGAATCAGTCACTTCTATTTAATTTTTTGTAGCGAATTCGCCTGTTATTTCTTTTGGAAATGCCATTGGGTAATATGCACAAGGGTAATAGAGGAAGCGATATGATTATCACCTCGAGTAGGCCTACTGTTCAAACTTTAAATACTCCCAAGAGTCCTTAACTCGGTGTATTACACAGCGGTTCATAGCAACTGTAGAGCCGCTGTCCTTCGATAAACTTATAAGACGTAGGCTATAATGAGCCTTGTTTATGTCACTTTGTATTGCTCTTCTGCTCTTGCGTCTCTCCAACTGCAATAAAGATTAGGAAACGAAATTATGACCTGAAATCTAAAGAAGCCTTGAACGTTGTGGGGCGACCAGGCGGGGAGTAAAGGAGGAGGAGGCAGCGTCTGATCGTGTGAGCTCTCGGGCTCAGAAATATCTCTGCTCTGGCTCACATTCCGATAAGGGAGCCCGATCCAGCTCTCTCTCTGTAGGCGTGGTTTTCCCAGGCTTTTAAAACAGCAGCTGCTATTTACCTTCCCCTCTAATGTAAACCACCGCCGCCGCCACATACCCTCCCCTCCCTCCCTCCCCCCCAATCCCTCCCCTCCCCTCCCCCCTGACCCGGCGGCCCCCCCGGCGGCCAAACCTCCAACCACCACGCTCATAAAACATTCTGGCACGTGCTCCACATTCACAACACCGAAAGATGATTAAATGCCAAAAATGTGTACCACAAAGTTAGCAACTACAGTGGTAAATAGCATGGAATTGGAGTGTACACATTTCATTTTATTTCCTCCCCCGAGGGAGGGCTTAATGAATATAGAATAGTGCTCATGTTTAAGGATGTTTGTGTATCTGATTTTGTCTCATATTGAGGTTTTGAGTTGTCCTAACAAGTTGTTTCTTTCAATAATGTCAATGTAACAGTAGAGTTTGTGTGTTTGGTAGAAAACAAAACTGCACCCTCCTGCCACATGACTGAAACTCTGATTGCATGATTGCCTACCACTTCCCACTGGTGGTTTTTAAACGGTACAGAAGTTTTACTTTCCGTTTTTTATTTAGGGCTACTATTAGTGTTACAAATAAATTAAGAACATCTTCTTCGTACAAAAGTTTGTGTAATACTTTGTATGTAGGGGAATAATCTAATTATAATCGGCTGAAGACCGAATCGCCTATAAATTGGTTTGGAGAGTAATTATTATTATTATGATTATTATTTGTATTATTATATGATTGGTGTTGAAAGTAAATTTGCAGCGTGTATTGCACTTATAATCCTTTTATTATATTCCTGCTCTTATCGCTTATCTGGGAGATAAAAGGGCCCCGTGCCCGCTCCTGGTGGCGGTGCCCAGTCAGCGGCTCCACTGTTAATATGTAAACGGTACGATGATTGAAGACTGAAGTTTCCCCGGCTGTGCCCTGAACCCGGGCCTCGCGCCATTGGCCGCCAACTCCAGCGGCCAAACAACCAATGGGAGGGCGCCGACCACGAGCCGTCCTCCCTTGGGCCGCGTGTCCCTCGCCCTGATTGGTGGAAAGTTACTGTGGGAAAGAAAGTTTGGGAAGTTTCACACGAGCCGTTCGCGTGCAGTGCGAGATATAAATACAAGCCACACGCGGAGAGCCCAACAGACAGACTCTGCATCCGCTCGTGATAGTTGGTGGCTGCGCATCGCTCGCACGGATTTAACTTGATACATATCTCAGGATTTTTTTAGGGAGAGGCGACTTTTGAATATTGCAAACTGAGCATATTCATCGCTTATTCCTACACCAGTGGATCGTAATTTGCTGTGGTTTTGTGGGATATTTCCGATAAGGAAATGCCTGCCGATATGATTGAAAAAAACTCATCCTCTCCGGTCGCAGCAACCCCGGCCAGCATGAATACAACTCCCGATAAACCCAAGACAGCCTCTGAACACAGAAAGGTTGGTACAGAGCTTTATTTAAAGTATTTCTCCTTCTGTTTCATGAAACAAAAAGCGTGAAACATTTCATTTTAGACACCATTTCGGTCCTCATCCAAAGTGAGGATTTCACTTTTACGCACGAATCCAGAACAAGACAACTAATCTATAATGTCATTTATTTTGTATCTTTAGTCATCCAAGCCAATTATGGAAAAGAGGAGAAGAGCCAGAATCAACGAGAGCTTGGGGCAGCTGAAAACTCTCATCCTGGATGCGCTCAAAAAAGATGTAAGTACTCTCTTAGCGTCCTGGTTATTATTAGATTTCAAAACTGCCACTGACAAACGGTGAGAAAGTGAGAGCGTAATCCTAACCATGTGTGTATTCCATCCCCTCAGAGCTCCAGACACTCTAAACTGGAGAAGGCGGACATCCTGGAGATGACTGTGAAGCATCTCCGGAACCTCCAGAGAGCTCAGATGACCGGTAAGTCGTATTTCCCGGACTAATCGGTCTCATTCTGGGCCAGACAACAATCTTGCTTCAAAACATCAGTCAACATTTTGCAGAAAAAACAACGTGTGCGTATCTTTACTTAAATATATCCGTGTTTTCTCTGCAGCTGCCCTCAACACCGACCCCACTGTTTTGGGAAAATATCGTGCCGGTTTCAGCGAGTGCACGAATGAAGTCACTCGGTTCCTGTCCACCTGCGAAGGTGTCAACACCGAGGTCAGGACGCGGCTCCTCGGTCACTTAGGCAGCTGCATGGGCCAGATCAACGCGATGAACTACCCCAGCCAGCATCAGCAGCACCAACACCAACTCCCCCCCACGGGCGGACCAACCCACCCCTCCTTTGGCCAGTCCATGGTGCAGATCCCCAACTCTCCCCAGCAAATCCTGCCCATGAACACGGTGTCCTGTAAAGGAGGCTCCTCGCCGGGCAATTTATCACCAGACGCCACCAAAGTGTACGGCGGTTTCCAGATCGTGCCTGCCAACGATGGACAGTTTGCATTCCTCATACCTAATGCGGCTTTTGCGCCAAACGGCCCTGTCATCCCCGTGTACGCAAACAATGTCGGCACGCCGGTCACCGTCCCAGCTGCGGTGTCCCCCGGAGTCCCGTCGGGCAACACGGATTCAGTGTGGCGACCCTGGTGAAAAGTGGAAAGGACAAAAAATACTCTAAAATGACACTTAATAGTTCTCTCTTTGTTGAATGTTAGAAAGTTGTTTTGAATTTTTTTCTCGTTAAATGGAAAGAGTATGCACTATATTTGTACAGCTAACAATGGAGTAAAGTTCATATTGAAATGAGAATTGTATTGTGGAAGTCCGTTCACTGCATTTTTTATATATATATTTGAGTTGTCTTTTTTTACTGTGTGATGCCAAAGATGTTCAATGCTCTTATAATGTTCTTCGTTTTGGAAGACAAATAAATTTGTAAAGATATGAAAAACAAGTGCTTGAGTTGTTTGTTGGGAAAACTAAGCCTGATCTCCTTACCAATGCGTAGAGCTAAAGATGTCAAATGTTCCGCCTGCTAATGCAGTATGTTACTATAGTTTTGGTACTTAAACTTTTGCATAGTAAATTTTGCAAAAATGAGTAAAATAATACATCCAAACTTTTAATTTAGTTATCCTTCTTTTATGTAAAATAGCCTTTGAGTAGGCTATAACACAGGAAATCAACAAGTGTAATTAAACTAATCTTTTAACACAAATAATCAGAAATAGGCAGAATTTAAGGTCAGCTTTATTATAAGGCTGCATTGTGCAAATATAAGAAAGGAATAACAGGCAGTTGTGAAAGACGGCCTTGCAGTAATGTTTACAGATCAATATCTGCCAAAAAAGTGTTAATCTGTTATTTATGCAGAGATGTACATATTTCTAAAGTGAGCAAACACACTGATCAAGCTCACTATAAGTCTCACTCAACCAGACTGTCAGTAAATGGCTGGCTGATTGTAATTATATTATCTAAATAAATTAGTCAGACAGGATACTGTGGCTCTGTCATTTACCAGTCAAAGGAGTTAGACCATGTTGTGCTGTTTCTCACAGTGATAATGCAGCGGTTTCACCTCCTTCTGGAAACTTTGGAGTCTTGCAGAGGTCACTTACGCCATCTAGCAGCGAAGAGGTGCATTGCAGTATGATTGGTGTTGGTTAGCTCAATGAGTGGAGCATGAATGGCTGTTGTGGATGATTTAAGAAAAAGAAGATCATAGATTTTTGCAAATTTAAGATATTTTTATAGAATAGGACAATCAGCTGATTATTATTCTATAAATCAGGACACAGGAACTTTTTAAGGAGAGGCTTGAGGTTTCATCTTTGAGTTACATGAGCTTGTCAGAGCAGCTGGATATGATGAAAACATGTCCTTTGAATCTTTCGTTTGCATGTTTTAAAACTATACATTATGACATAAAGATCAGTGGCTATATTATCATTGCAAATGATAATATAGCCACTTTCCACTCAAAAGAGTCCAAATCGGAAGTTACTTATTAAACTAACAATCCACCATCAATTTGAAGTGATCAAGCTTAAAAAGGCTATGGACGACATCATTATGAGATTTCTGCTGTTCAGTCAACTTTATAATGCCAACAGCATTAATCTCCTGACAGTATGGACCGGAGAGGAGCCTCCGGCTGTGTCTTTAATCAGAGCTCAGGGAGTTCCCTCCATGCCAGGGGATGAGGGGGGGGTTGACAGCAGAAGGACATGTTAAACACCTCGCCACTGAGCCATGTGGTAGCGCTCTGCTCTGCCCAGGTGTGTGTGCCCCCTCCAGCTACCCGAGTGTGGCCCTTCTTTGAAGGGGGTGTGTGTGGGGAGGGGGTGCAGGTGTTTGCAATTATCAGTGCGCTAAGAGGCACAAAGTGTGGATAAGTGCCATCATTTTGAATTTCCATCACACCTTTTTACGGGGGGCCATGCATCCATGTTTGATTGAAGCCATGTGTGTGCTTGTGCCTGTGCGTGCATACGTCGTGTGTGTGTGTTTGTGCTGAGTGCTGGGTGAGGACATGCCTGGCCAAAGGGCACGATGGGTGAGGTAGTCGCGAGTTAAGTGGGGGGGCGGGGGGTTCAAGGAAAGGCCCACCACACGGGATAACAGTCAGCCTCCTGTGAGCCAAAGCTTCTTCACACAAACACACAGATACACAAAACGTTCCCACAGCATTCCAGCTGTGCTCGGACCAGTGTCGAGCTTCCTGTCCTGAGTCACGGGGCCACAGCTGGACGCGGGACGTCTGGGAGGCACGTGGTGTGACCTGGACAACACCCAGCTGCTGAGCCCTCCCACCCTACCTCACAGCCTTTCCCCTGTTTCGTCCCCCCCCCAACATCTTCAGTGGTCTCTTCCCTCTGGAGAACAGCTTTACGAGCCTCTCCAATTACCCAGTGCAGTGGCCGAGCTGCCGGAATGACCGCACACATGTCACAACACGACCGGGGGGTTAGCTGCCATGCGTGTCCATTAACTTTTCCCACACTCCGCGTGCATGCAGAGAGCGAGAGGAGGGGAAAAAGCCCCTCTGCTTCCTCCTTGGCTCCCTAAGTGCTACCATATGCTCGGCTCTGTCCCTCTCTCTCTCATGGTTCCTCTTTCTCTCTCTCTCTCTCTTTCTCGCCCCGTCACTGGGGCTGTCTTTGATTGCAGCCCAGACAAGCAAGAGCTTTATGATTTAAGCCCAGGGCTTGCTGTACCAAGCCCTGGACTCATTTTGAAGCCAAACTCCTCTCCCTCCCCCCCATCCCCTTGCACCCCTCCCTCCTCCTGCAGTTGCAGGGGAAGGCTGTTTTCTGGCAGGAAATGAATAGCTCCCAGATGAGCGCAGGAACCTGAGAGGTCGTGAGAAAGAGGCGAACCCCCCTCCGCAGGCCCGGCCTGCTGCCAGCCGCCGGGGGAATGTGGGAGAGCGCCTCTCTGACACACGCATCAACCCCTCTGCCCTCCACCACACCGCCTGACTGACTGCCTGCCTCGGCACTGGGCCCTGAGCCTGGAAATAGACTGATAGACATGGGCAACCGCCACCGAGCCAGGCAGCATGGAGAGTCAGCCAGCCAGGGAGAGGGAGAGTTGTGGGAGGGGAGAGAGAAGTGCTGGATCTGTGTGGGCGGAAGTGGATCAGTCTGAATCCTGATCCAAGCATACAATACAATGGAAACTTAGATCAAGTTTACGTTAGACTCATGTTTGACCCTGACTGGGTATTTGTGCAGGTTTTGTACACAGACAGACACACGTACACACTCACTCACATGCTTCCCTCCCTCTGTCCCACAGGCTTACACTCATTCCAGAGCATGCACTCACTCAGACAGGTGTTCCTTGTCAGGAGTAAAGGGTTTTTCCCTTTGGTTCCCTGTGTGCTGAACTAACATTTATTCCTCCTGAGGTTGACACTGTTATGGTTGGACGTGAACACAACTTTCGCTACAGCTGTCAAGGCGTATTTTAGGATCTTTGTTTAATCATTGTTCTGCATTAGTGTGGCATGTTGAGATCAACTAATTGCAGAGTGATGGCCAGATATTTTCTTTGCAAATGGCTCTATGTGCACATTATTCTGTAAATTGGCTCAGGTACATAACACCTTATGTAGAATGAATGAAAACTTTATTACAGACTCAGGGTCCAGATAAAAGACAAGGCATTACATATAATAAATTACATACACAGCATAAAAAAAATTCATAGTTTAATAATAATTTAAATCAGTGTCCTACAAAGAGACAACTATACCAATGTCTCCACAGCTGTGTAGAGTAGAGTTTATAATATTGTTGTCATTTTACCCCTTAAATGAAGTAATCTGTTTAATATATCCCTTGTAAAACAATCAGTTTGGAAATTGGGTTGTAGTTTAATCAAAAAGTAATTTGTCCTCTAATTGTTTAACTTAAAGGTGTTCCACAGTGGGGAAGAGATAAAGGAATTCAATGTTTTACAGGGGGGGGAAAGCAGAAAAGTAGAGAGTGGGAAACATTTTCAGAAAATAATTGAGGACAAAGGAGTAGTGCAAAACATGCTAAATATATATGTACTGTATATCTTAACATATTATTTTCTCACTATGTGTTCTCATAAGCTTGTAGCTGCAGACCAGCTCTTAAATGTAACACTATAAGATAGCTCTTTTGAGAAAAGCGGAATTTCACAGTTCAATTCGTCATTTTTTTTTATATAGAAGATGGATTGTTGTTTCATGGTGATAAAATGCAGACATGTGCATTTACATGAAGCTAATAAACAGCCATTTACTACTTTGGCTCAATTTTCTATACAAGCTACTGGAGTCAGGGGGCTTGAAATGATGTGTCCTTGCTTGCAAAAGGGCACCTAGGTTGGACCCAACCTCCACTATTAGTATATTACTCATCAGAGTTGTTCTTCCTTCTCTCCCTAGTGACTCAGGACACATCATACTCCACATGGTGTACCCCGCTTATGCTTCAGTCTTCCTATCTTTCTCTCTCACACTCTTTCTTTGTCTCTCACACACTCAGTTTGTGCGGGGCTCCTATGGTAACCTGTGGGCCCAGTAAACAGGACAAGCTGTCTACACACAAATCCCAGCAGTGTGCGTGCCCACTTTCCTTGGCTCACCCTGCATGGCAACAAAAACCCCACCAGAGGCTCCCACCACCAGCCCATTCAAATGTCAGCCACCTTGTTTGAAGTCGCAGACTGCTATGTAAATCCACAGTGTTTCTCACCAGCACAGCCTCTGACACACACTCAAAACAAGAGCTCTAGCAAAGGTGGTCCTGTGATGCTGGATGATGGTTTCTTTTATATTCTCCAGCCTTTAGAAGTAGTCTTTTTTCATCCCTATAGCCCATCCTCCCAGTTTTGGTTCGTAAACATGTTTTTGAGAGGTGTTGGTGGATGGTGACTTGAGGAGAGCAGGACATGGCAACCATATGATGCCGTCAGTTATAAAGTTGGCACATCCCCCAAACTCTGGGCTGTGACAGTGATGACCCCATCACACTGCGCCATTGTAGGATCTGTCCTCCAGCTACTCTGGAACCCAAGGCCAATTGAGTGGGAGGGTTTCCCCCCTGAGAGACCATCACAACAAACAAATACACCAGGCAAACAAGTTCCCACCACACCAACGTCCAAACAACTGCCAACGGTGACAGTTTGGTTGGTTTTGATATCACACAAAGACGTCCTTCATGAGGCACTTCTGAGCCTCTTGCTTTTATCAGTCAAGTCCAAGTTTCCCAAATTGAGGGTAAGGCTCCCCTGAGAGTTTTCCCAAGAAAAAACACTGGAAAGTTTAGAATAAACAATAACTATGTATAATGTAAATTACTACATTATTTATTTATTATTTCTGGTGAATTATTCAACGTGTGCTCAGAAGGTTAAACATTGGTGGAGTGTTGTAATCTTGGCTCATTTTCTATGGCATTCGAACATGCT